GATTATTTAGAATTGTGTTACTTAGTTTTCAAGTGTTTGGATATTTTCATTTTCTTTCCATTATTCTAGTTTGATTCCATTGTAGTTTGATAACATATTCTATGTGATTTCAGTTATTTTACATTTGTTGAGGTTTGTTCTGTGGCCCAGAATATGTTTTGTCTTGGTATATATTCCATGGGCACTTGAATAGAATGTGTATTCTGTTGTTGTTAAGTGAGTGTTCTGTAAGTGTTGATTAGATTCTGTTGGTTGATAGTGTTGTTCAGTTTTTATATGTCTTAGTTGATTTTTCTGGCTAGTTCAATCATTGGGCTTCCCAGGTGGCACCAGTGGTAAAGAACCTGCCTGCCAATGCAGGAGACATAAGAGATGCGGATTTGATCCCTGGGTCAAGATCCCCTGAAGGAGGAAATGGCAACCCATTTCAGTATCTTTGCCTAGAGAATCCCATGGATAGAGGAGCCTGGTGGGCTACATGGGATCCATGGGGTCACAAAGAGCTGGACATGACTGAAGCAACTTAGCATGCATACACACTCAGAGGAATATTGAAATTTTCAACTATAGTTGTGCATTTTTGTATTTCTTATTTGAGTTCTATCAGTTTTTACATCTCTGTTGTTTAGTTTATACACATTTAGGATTGCTGGATCTTCTTAATTGATTGATCCATTTATCATTATATCCCTCTCTGTCCCTGGTTATTTTTACTTTCTTTGAAATATTTTTACTTATTTATTTTTATTTTTTGGCTTTACTTTCTGGTTCTTAGTTTCTTGACCAGGGATGGAACTTGTGCACCCTGCAGTAGAAACAGAGTCTGGACCACCAGGAAAGTCCCAAAGTATTTTTATATTTATCTAATAGTAGGATAGCCACTCATGCTTGCCTTTGGTTAGTGTTTGCATGCTACATCTTTTTCCGTCCTTTTACTTTAAACTTGCCTGTATCATTTGAAGTGAGTTTCTGGTAGATAACATAGAGTTTGTTATGCTTTTTAATACATCCTGCCAATCTCTATCTTTTAATTGCTATACTTAAGCCATTTATATCCAGTGTAGCTATTAACATGTTAAGGCTTATGTCTGCCATCTTATTTTTTGTTTTCAGCTTTTTCATTTTTCTGTTTTATTGTTTGTGTCTTCCTGTGGATTACTTGAACATTTTTTTAGAACTCCATTTTGTTTTATCTGTAATGTTTTTGAATGTATTTCTTTGTATGACTTTTTAAATATTGCTGTAGGTATTACATTTTACTTACTCATCTCAGTTTACTGGTGTCATCATTTTACTAGTTCAGGTGAAGCATAGGAATTGTAACTCTTTATATCTCTTTGTCCTCCTCTATTTATAATTGTCTTAAATATTTCCTCTACATATATTTAGAAACATATCAGACCTGTTCCAATTTTTATTTCAATCATTAAACATAATTTAGAAAATTCTTAAAAAGGCAAAGCTAGTCATTAACACGTATTTTTGCTGTATTCCTTTTCTATCCAGCGTTCCAAGGTTCCTTTTTTTTGGTTTCCTTTCTGTCTAGAGAACTTCCTTTAGCCATTCCTTTAGAGTATATTTGTAGGTGATGAATTCTGTTCATCTTCTGTCATCTGAGAATGTCTTTATTTTTCCTTCATTCCTAAAGGATATTTTTGTTGGATATAGGATTCTGGATTGACAGCTAATTTTCTTTCAACACTTGAAAAATGTTGTTCCACTCTTATCTGAACTTCATAGCTTCTGATGAGAAATCCATTGCCTTTTTAATGCCAAGTAGAGGTGAATTTCTGCAGTCCTTCTTAGTCTCCAGTGATATACCATGGGGTGGGGTTGAGGGACTCCTACCATCCAGTGGAGATCAAAGTTCTGGCTTACCACTTGCCTTCTCTGAAGCCCTGGAGAATTAGAACATCTCCTTACAGCATTATAGTCTCCCCACATAGGCTTTGATGGGGTGAATGTGGGTGGTCACAGTTTTTGTGTGTGTGTTTGTGTGTGTGTTGGCTTTTTTGGTTTGGTTTGGTTTGGTTTTGGTGGTGGTTGTCTGAGGTAGAATAGTTACGTACAAGTTTCTGTCGTGGAAAATCACGTCACTCTTGGTCTTTTGGCTAGAGAAAGCAAAATTTTATTGAGTTTTGTTTGTTTTGTTGGTGTGCATCCAGTGGTTTTCTAGTTGTCAGCTTCTTAAGCTCCAAGTGTGGGGTATATGAGGCAAAATAAACAAACAAACTTAGGTAATTTACCAATGTGTCATTCCTTGAGACTTAAGGTCCTTAGCCTGTCTGCCTTCTTCTCTTTATCATCCAGAGTCATCTGATACTTGTTTGATATATAATGTCCAGGGTTTTTAGTTGTACCTAGTGGGAAGAATAGAGGAAAGTGCATCGACTCCATCTTCCCCGAAGCAGAAGTTCCTGCAGTTTTGTTTTTTTTTTAAAGTAAGTTACAAACATCAAGATATTTCACCTCTGGAAACTTCAGCATGTGTCTTTTGAGAACAGAGACATCTTTCTGTTGTACATAGCCGTGATACCTTTATCACACCCAAGAAATTTAACATTGATACAATATTACCTAACATAGGATTTGTATTCAGATTATGTTGTCTCCGAAATGTTCTCTATAGCTCTTTTCCTCTGATTTCAAATTATGCATTGTGTTTGGTTGTTATGTATCTTTTAACCTACAATGCCATCTCCTGGCCTTTTTGTTGTTCTATTTTGTTTTGGTGTTTCATAACCTTGACGTTTTTTAACAGTCCAGGCAAATACCTTGTAGAATGCTCCATAATCTAGATGTGTCTCTTCTGATTAGATTCAGGTTAATTATTTCAGCGACCATACTATGTAGTATAGTATGCTGTATACCTCTAATTACATAAGTCAAGAGGTATGTAATAAATTTGATCATTCGATTAAGTGATGTCTAACAGATATCTCCATTGCAGAAGTATTTTTCCCTCTTTATAATTAATAAGTAATCTGTGGGGTACAGACCATTATCTTTAAAGCCTTTGAAAACCACATATTCAATATTTATTTTAAAAAAATACCAGGTAATCTAGCTCTTCTTCATAGTAGAATTTCCAGTTAATAAATGTAGAGAATGATGGAAATTGAAAGTGACCATTTGGCAAACATTTTTGCAAACCATTTTGGTAGGCAGGAATCATCAATAGATGCTAAAATTAGTGGGCAAAAGTATGATGGGATAGAAATCTACATAATCTCAAAGTATCCTCCCACAGGATACTGATTACAAAGGGAAAAATAGTAACTAGTGGAGAAACCTGTTGGATACCACCTTACCAAAAGATCAAAGTTAAGTAATTTGACACATCACACATTACCTCTTTGGTATTCTTCTTTCCAAAATTGGATATCCTCTATTCAATTTTGAGATAATATCAGGCAAACCAAAATTAAGGGCCCTTTTACAAAATAACTGATCAGTACTCTTTAAATTGTTAAAGTCATGGAAAACAAAGAAAGACATGAGCTGTTAAAGATTCAAGGAGACCTGACAACTAAATGAAATATGGAGTCCTGGATTGGATTTTGGACCAGGAAAAGGGTCTTATGGGACAGCTGGCAAAACTGAAGTGAGGTCTTTAGGTTACTTAATAGTATTAAAATCAATGTTAATTTCCTGTTTTGATGATTATACTGTGGTTATATGAGGATAACATTTGGTTGGGGTGAAAAGCTTTTGCAACTTTTCTTACATTTAAAATTATTTCAAAAGAAAATTTCTCCTATTTTTTCAACTTTTTAAATTCAAAACTCCAATAAAATAAATTTTTCCAATTAAAGTTTGCTTGGATAGCAAACACAGTCCTGATTTGTATAAGAACTAAACATATTAAGCAGACCATCACATTCTTTCTGTATTGTCACAAGCACTCTAATGTTCTTCCTGTTCTGAAGTCTGGATATAATTTCACACAGAGACCTGCACCTCTTTCCTAAGGCTTTGTGATCATATGTAATTCCTATATATCCCAGACTTGGAATTTTAGATATCTTCTAGAAAACAGTTCATTGATTCAACAGATTTTTATTGTGCACTTATTATATACATAGCAGGCACTGTTTGGGGCAATGGAGAAAAGTGAGTGAACAAGGCAGTTAAAAACCTCTCCCTTCATGAAGCTTAGACTTCATTGGAAGAATATAGAAGACAAATAAAATAAGCATATTTTTGAAGTGTTTTAATAAATGTAGAGAAAAATAAATTAGGAAAGGTGAATGCCAGGGTTTGGGTGCAGGGGAGTACTTTATCTTCTAAATCAGCACTCATTGCGTTCTGTGTCCCATTTTTAAAAATCTTTTTTAAAACATAACTACTTGATTTTATATATATAAATACACACATATATATATATATACTTATATATAAACTTTATAATCTGCCTTCTTCCAGTAGAATGTAAGTCCATCTGAGTGAGGTCTTTGTTAACTTGAAAGTAAAGAACAACACTAAGTAGATAAATAAATTTCCATTGAATAAGTTCTCCCTCAGGTGTTCTCTCAGGCCCTACACCTAGGTTAACTCCTGGGACACAAATAAATGTTTGTTGATTTCATTAATATACAGATTCAGGTTATATGAGCCCATTTGCTGAATAACTTGTATGAGTTTTTTTAACTTTTCTGGGATAAGAACCCTTAAGATCCTAAGAATGCTTCTTAGTTGCCTGTCATCTTGAGGAATTTGTTTAGCTTGTTTGCATGGAGGTTATCTATTTTATATATGATATAAAACGCTTTTTCTTTTGAAAAGTGAAAAACATAAAAGGAGACCCCTACTTCCCTCTTAAGCTGTGGAGCTTTCATAGCTGAATGTCTTAAAGATGTTACATTGTCTTATCTGTAGTTGAAAAATCCCCTTACTGCACTCTCATATTTCACCCTGTGGCCTGTTAAAGTTTTATAGCTGCAGCATCTATTTCTTCTTCCTGTAACCCTAACCATCATTCATTTTTATATTTTCAACAGTGTTATTTACTTGTCTACTATACCAGCTGGCGGAATGTCAAATCTTTTTTGACTTTTGGTTTAATTTGTCTATGCAACATGTATCTCTATGAACTGCGCAATCTCTGGCAGCTTTTTTTTCACGTGACTGTGGGAGCATTTGTTACACTACAGATCTGGCTAAGGCAAGCCCAGGGCAAAGCTCCTGATTATGATGTCTGACACCATCCTTCAGACATATTGCCTTTCCTTAAGGAGGAAAAGGAAGGACACCACCACTGTGATGAAGAAACTGTTGACCACAAATGAGAAGCTCCGCTTTCTTTCTCTGCAGCTGTCCTTTTTAAGTCAGCCTAGCATGCCTGTGAGCATGCAATACCTGGTAGGCAAACTCTTCTCAACAGACTGTTGGCCATGATTATCATTCAGAAGAAGATAAGGAGACCTCTCTACAGGGCAACGGTAGTGGAAGAACAGTCAGATGCCATTGGAAGACTTGGCCAGCAGCTCTGAATCATGGCTGGAGAATTCAGTCAAAAAGTGTGTGTGGTACTTGCTCTGAGAACCAAGCAGGAACTCTACAACCCCAGTTTGCCTTTGTAAGGCATTAGTATAGACCAAATAAAAGATGCTGCAATGAATTGGAAAGTTTATGTGTAAAACAAATGACTTACTAAATATTAGATCATTTGCACATTTGTTGTACCATGAGTTTATGAAGTCCAGATTGGTGTGGAGTGGGTTCTTTTTCCTTTTATATTTTTGCTTGAATCTTAACTCTGGAAATCACCTGATGTAGGAGAAGGCTGTGGTGAGTTCATCCCTGGAGTGTCATAAGTATTGAAAACACAGTGACACATGTTTCTTTCCTAGACCGCATTTATACCTTCTTTTGAAATTACTTTTTAAAAATATGTCCTTAGGCTATAGCCGTTATTTGCCAAACTTCAATCACTTAAGTGTTACATATACTATTATTTACTTAATATTTATCTTTTAAATTTTAAAATATTTTAAAAAGAAACTAACCTCTACTCCAAGTGAAAAACCAGCATCAGTTTGCCATTAAAAAAGAGAACTACAAAATAAATTAAAACAGGATGTTAGATTCTAACTGGATGCTAATGACTGCCAAGGCTCTGAATCCAAGAAGCCTACTCTTTCTTTGTTGCAGTGAGAGATGTTACTTAGCACCAAAATGGGCTCTCTCTGTGAAATTATCAGAAGTTTAAAAGAAAATTATAAAGGGAATGACATTCACATTGTGATTCAGCATTATTTAATTCTGTGTTGTGTATCACCTAAAGTCATCTCACATGCCACCAAGTGTTATGGGTCCTGCCCTGTGGAAACACTGAGTTGTTCTAAAAGAATCAGAAGGTAACTCTTCTCTCAGCACTTCTTATTATTCCTCTTATAATTTCATGGCTTCAAGGAGTTAAGCACCTACTATCTAAGTGGTGCTTTTTGATAACTTTGTAAAGATTGTTTAAGCAGTTGTGAATTATTATTAGAGGAAGCATATTTTGGTTCTTTTAGCAAAATCTACAACTCTTGTGGTTTTGAGGGCTTCCCCGGTGGCTCGGATGATAAAGAATCTGCCTGCAGTGCAGGAGACCTGGTTTGATCTCTGGGTCGGGAAGATCCCCTGGAGAAGGGAATGGCTACCCACTCCAATATTTCTTGTCTGGAGAATTCCATGGACAGAGGAGCCTGGTGGGTTTAGTCCGTGGGGTTGCAAAGAGTCAGACAAGGACTGAGGGACTAACACTTTCACTTTCTGGTTTTGAAATCATCTTCATGAGTGATTTTCTTGAGGAAAGATTCCAATTAAGGAATTCATAAGGTTTGAAATTTGATATCCAGAAAAAAGTGGACTCACATATAATTCATGTTACTGGGTATATTAATTATGCAGAAAAAATTGTCAAGAGGGGTAAAGTCACCAAACTGCATTGTTTCCAGAACCAGTATATATAGGTATGCTTACAATGAGAAATCCTGCTTAACTACAACCTTTTTGCTATACTCTCCTTTTTAGGAGAATGGGGCAAAAGAAGACAGTGAAAGCTTATGATTTTGGGGATTTATTTAATACAAGAAACTCCAGTTCCCTCCAATTTTCTGCCCCTAACAAAACTGCAAAGAAATTATGAATATTCTGAGAGATACCCCAAGGTACCACATGATCCTAAATCATGAAAATGATGTTTGGTGTTTTGTAGTTACTAAACCAGAAAGTTAACTGGTTCACTTTACTTTAGAAAGTAAAACTTGAGAAAGTTTTTTATAAACTAATGGTTAAAGCAAGAAGAGTTTTCTTGTAAATAGTTGATTAACCAGGAGATTGGAGTATTCTGGTTTATCAAGATTTTGCTGTATATTGATACTTTATAGCTCTCTTACCAGTTTGGTTCTTTTTATTATTGAGTCATAATGTTTGGTATTCAGCAAGGACACTTGAAAACTCACCAGCTATCTTTAAAGGCTTCATTTGTTTTTCGTTTTGTTTTTTCACCAGCTATTTTGGATAAGGGGATGTTTATATTTTAATGTAAAAAATGAAAACAGGTATAAATAATGTTTTATGTATAGAAATGTTCTCTTTCATTATTTGGTGCCTGCATCTTTGTTTGTTTATATAGCTTTCCTGCCTCTGTCATGTTGTTGCCAAAGAAAGTATGAATTTAGAAAGATAAATTTTTGCCACGAATGTAAAGAAGTTTTTAAGCTCATGAGAAAGAATCACTTAGGCCTCTAATGTGTATGATAGTGACACGTTGCATTTATATTGCAATTTTATTTCTAAGAGCACCTTCCTAATCATAATGGGTCTTCTACTGTCAAGGAGGTACTATTTTCCAAATAGGAAAGAGGACACTATGGTAACCAAGTGTTAATGACTTACCTAGGGTCAAGAACAAAGCACACACAATTTCTAATCTTTTAGCCCAGGGTTGGGCTAACGAAGGTAGCTAAGATTATATAAATGAAGATAACTAAGATTATATTCAGGAAATATGTCTATTCTTGATAAAATTGAAGTCCTGGGGACTTCTTAAAATAATGGGCTTTAGCCCACTATTGTATGTAGGTGTATGTTATCTTACTTAAGGTAATTCTGAAATATTGCTTCTGATTAAGGTGTGCTATGAGGGCAAAGATACTCCCTTTTATATCCTAAAAGTATTTGCAATATTTGCTTGCTTTTTTCGGGTGTGTATTTAAAGTATACCTGTCCTCTTTGCCAAAAGAATTTGGGAAGCACATCCAAAAAAGACATACACAATAATGGTAATAAAATATGAACATTAAGGGAAGAAAAGCAAAACCAATGAGACCGGAAGGAAGGGTGAACACATTGCTGTTACTGAGTATAAAATTTGATTCTTGAACTTCTTGAAAGTCAAGGCTAGAAAAAGGAAAACAAGTTTTGCCTTGACTTATATCCATAAGTCAAAGCGTGTTTCTCAGAGAAGACATCTTCCTGATGAATTCAGGTAAAAATGTTTGCACTTGGGGGTCTTGTGAAATGCTAAAAGGAACAAAATCATCAGTTGTTTTACACACATTTCCATATTACAATTGTGCCTTGGATCTTCAACTTTGTACCAGCCTTCAAAGGCTTTCATTTCAGGTCTTTTTTTATGTGTTTAATAGAGGATTTTGTTCCAGTAAGAATTCTGCTCTTAAGCTAAAACCAAGTATCCGTGTTAAAGCTTGAAATCCATTTAAGACAAATGCCTTGACACTTGGAAAACCTTTACCCAATTTTGTAATTTTATGACTTCTATAAAGTGAATCTGCTACCTCTGGGTTAGCACATTTGTTTGGTATTAAATATGGTCTTTTTCACAGTGGAATCCAGTCTGGAGAAATGCATAGCTCCATTTCTTTTTCTTTTGGACTGTGTGTGGAATCTCATTAGAATTCTGATTTGTCAAGCCTCCACAGAGACCAGACTTGTCAGGTGAACCTTTAACTCTCCTGTCACAAAAGTACTTCCTCCTGGGGTTAGCGACCTACCAAAAAGGCAGACACTTGGCCTTTATTACAGAAGATTTACTGAGTGACCCAAGAACCCATTCCAGGCTGTTGAATTTCCAACAAATTTCCAGCAAAGTGTATGCATGTGTTCACTATTCTTTTTGCTGTTTTAACAGACATTTTATTCACTTTAAAATAGTTTTAATAGAGTATGTAGTAAAAGAACAAATTATTTCAAAATCAGCCACTACTCAGACCAAATTGAACACTTAGCTCTACTACATATTATAGGTCACTCTTCAAGGCTTCCCTGGTGGCTCAGATGGTAAAGCATCTGCCTGCAATGCAAGAGACCTGGGTTTGATCCCTGGGTCAGGAAGATCCTCTGGAGAAGGAAATGGCAACCCACTCCCGTACTCTTGCCTGGAAAATTCCATGGACAGAGGAGTCTGGAAGGCTACCGTCCACGGGGTCGCAAAGAGTCAAACATGACTGAGTGACTTCACTTTCTTTTCAGGGCTTCATTCTTTGTCTGTGGTCAAGCCTTTGTATTTTTCTGCTTTATATCTCTAAGGAAATGGACTCTTTCTTTCTAAAAATATTGTGATAAAGTCAAACCTAATTTTGGGGTTAAATTGGCTTTAGGAATATCCTGGCCTAAAGTTAATAGAAGAAACCTTTCCAACTCCCAGGGTTATAAATGAATTGTGCAGAGACCATGTCAGCTGAGGATTTTACTCCTCTGGTCATACTGAGTAGGGTCTGATGATCTTCATCAATGTCCTGGGACTGCTGTTGAATGCTAGCATATTGCAGCCTTCTGTTTGAGCAGTGAGCTTTTCAAAGAGAAGTGGTGTCTGTGGCTGCCACTCTTGTAACATCTCTTCCTTGGGTGGCCAAGCTTTCTAGGTTTCTTTATTCAACAGGTGAAATCACAGTACCACAGCAGTGTGTGGCTGGAAGCCACATGGCTTGTATCCTCCTTGCCTGTTACAGTGAGCGGCACTGACATGAGTGCAAGCATTTTCTTCTGCATTGGTGGTGCTGGTGTGTAAAGAATAGTCTCAACACAGTGAAGGCTGAAGAATCTCAAGAAGAGAAAAGGCTTCATCCTCAAAGAGTTCCTGAAATCAATACCGTAACCTTATGAATTGTTTCTGGTGTTTTCTTGGCAACAAGTGGTGTTTTTAGCCCAACCCCACCCACAGTTTACATTTGCCCTTTTCTTCTACATC